ATATAATATCATTCTATGTGATTGAACTAGGACCCTTTTGAAACAGTCGTACTATGATCATCGATCTCTCGCTGGTTGTCCCTAGATTCCATTATTTGGAAGCGTATTCATAACTTGTTGTACCAATTTATCTTGACACATTATTAATAAGTCTTTTGACATTGATCAACTTATTAATGGATTGGTAAGAGTATTATTCCAATAGATAACTATTTATGTTGTTTATTAAATATCTTAATTTGATAGTTTACTTCTATCTACATGAATGATCTATCTCAACTCGGGAGGAAAAACTAGTAGTGGACATAAAATAATCTATTCGGGTTTTATTAAGTTCTTGATGTTATTTATACTTTCTTTTTAAGAAGAAACAAACAATATTGTTTCTTTAAGATATTACAAGAGAGTAAACGTTTACAAACGTTAAGATCCAATGGTAATATATGTTTAGAAAAAGTGGAAACTTTACAAGACACTAAAAGGCATCAAAGATTAAAATATATATGACTGAAAATTGGAACCAATGCTGTTAAATTTGGTGTGCATGGCCATGGGTCTTCACATCTAAAATTAGTTGGTGTTTCTTGATATCACCAATTTTATAAGGATTTCAATTATATTGTCCTAATAATTAAAATACAGATGTTATTCATTAAAGTTTGGGTTAATTTCATTCAGGAGAGATTGTTAACTCTTAAGCTTCTCGTAATTTAAAAAAATATTAAATATCCTCTTAAATTATTATAAATTCATTTTTAAAAAGAAAACTTTATAAATAAATAGATGGAGATGGATGAATAAAGTACTCATTTAAGTTTGACAAAACCCTTATATTAAAAAAGAGTAATTTGTCAAAAATGAATATGGGAATTGTTATGTGGAGAATTATAAGCAATGATTGAAGAAGAAGGGGGGGGGGCATGTGGACTGGTAAGTGGACCTAATTTTAATGAATAGAAAGCCAACATGTAACATGTATGTTGATTGTTGGGATCAAATGTGAAGCTCGCCTGCCATTAGGTTTATCATTAAATTAAATTACAAAAGAATTGAAAAAATTTAGTTGTAGTGACCATAAAATGACGGTGGGTCCCTACTGACACATAAATGCAATTATAATTGTATTTGTTCTTTTATTTTTTATTTTTTTATTTTAATTTATTCTCATAATCAATCCCCTTGATCGTTTCGTAAAGCAAATGCATGAAATGTTAAATGTTAAATCTTACTAATGCAATTATAATTTGCAAAAGCTTTTTCAAGCTTACAAGGCTAAATGTTGTAAAGAAGTTCCTGCCTCACCTTCAATTGTTTCTCCTGTGACTAGTTCTACTTCTAGTAAGCGTATAGATCATTTTCTGTAAGTCACTATACTTTTAGTTTTATATTCTTATGATAAATAAACATTGTTTATTGTTTATTTTAATTTTTGACACTTATTGTTTAAATGATGCGGATTTTGACAGCTATGAGAGTGTTTTTATTTCCACTAAGAAATCCATTAGATCTTTATTAGGAAGAAATAGGTTTGATCGCGTCAAATAAGAATTGGATATCCTCGATCATTGGAAGAACAATCGTGATCGTTATCCAATACTACCATGATGGCTCGTGTATCATGGCAATACCAATACATTCGTAGCCTCGGAGTCCGCTTGTAGTATTGCAGTAAAGTACCAACAATATCGAAGCTCACTTCGACAAAAAATGCAGAATCTTTGATATGCACTCGAACTTGGCTATATGGATATGAGTTTGAGTAACATGTTAACATAATATCTTATATTTTATTTACATTTATTAATATTTGTAGCTGATCTTTTTTTGTAGATGATAGGTGAAAGATGATCGGATGATGATCTTGATGTGCCATTGACTGATCTCGGAGTGGAATCAAGAGACTCTATCACGCCCACTGTGGGATGAACATTTGCTGTCCTAAGAATGTTTTTTGTGAATATTGGATTATGTATTTGTTTATTTTAAGGGTATTTATAGTTTATTGACTTATTTGTTTGTTATATGTAATTGTGTTTAGTGATTCTGTATTTGTTTATTTTGGTTGGTATTTGTAGTTTTGTATTATATGTTATTGTTTGTTTTGTTTTTTGTTTATTTGGTTCATATTTGTTTATATTCTTAATTGAATTGAATTTAAAGTAGTTGATTTAGGGGGTGTAAATGTAAAATTAAAACTGTAGGAATTTTGGGGGTGTAATTGTCATAATTGAAAACTGTTAGGGGTAAAACGTAAAACCTAAAATCTGGAAGAGAGAAAACGGTCCACCCGCGGGTCCCCCTGTACCCGTATAGGGTAGGCACGTCCAAAATATTGGACCCGTATAGATCGACCCGTATAAGGACCCGTTCCCGTTTGACCCGCCCGTACCCGGCCCACCCCCCGTTTTGCTAAGTCTATATTTTGGGTATTAATGGGATATACGTTCGGGGGGGGGGGGAGAGATATTTTGAAACTTTTTGGGTGAGAAAGTGTCATTAAGGTAAACCTTGGGTGGGAAAAGTCATTACTCTTTAAAATCTCTCTTATGCTAATGAAAACCAAATATATATACTGTAGTAACATTTGAGAGTAAAAACAATTGAGATTATTGGTAGTCTTTTAGAATTATCACAAAAAACAATATAAAATATTACAGTGATTGGATTATAATTGGAAAAGTAAATAAAAGTGGACTTCAAATGGGTCGGATTGTCTTTACTTCAAAAATCAGTAAAATCAATCATGTAATCATAAGAATTATTGATGATTGCAGAATGATACGATTGATATGTTTATATTATTTGCACCTAACCTATTATTTTATGCATATAACAAGTTAACAACGTACATGAATTCTTGAAAAAATAAAAAAAATTATATATATAGAAATAGATTGTAATTTTTTCATTATAATATTATATTGTAATCCCATCAGAATGCCGACACATTCTTGAAATACCTCGTAGCTGACGAGGCCATCACCATCTAAATCGGCCTCTCTTATCATTTGTTCAGCTTCTTCAACCGTAATTTCTCTCCCAGATTCATCATCACATTTCAGCTGCACAGCCAAATTTAAAGAGATCAAATTAGTGAAGATTCATTGATTGAATCACTCGAACTTTCTAAGTCAAATTTAGTAGTTGGGAAAGATCACATCACAGAGGCATTCCGGCAAGAGCCAACACTTTTATATTTGATTTCATACGTTACATAAAATCAGCAATTAACAGTAAAGAGCATGATGAAGGTGAGCCCTAATACCGTTAAGAAGTTGTATTGCTAATTTAATTTTTTTACTTACCTCATTAGCTGATATATATCCGTCTTGATCTCTGTCAAATACTTTAAAAGCTTCTTTTAGCTCTTCTGCAACATTACCTGGAAGAAAAAATATATCATTTTTGAGTTCGAATGATCAATTCTGAAACCCTAAGCCTAATTGAGAAGACAAGTGTATGATACTACCTACCTTCATCTTTCTTCCCTGATATTCAAGAACTCTTCGATATCTATATTCCCGTTCCATCAAAATCAACTTCACTAATCACTCTCGAACTTCCTGCTTTGTAGGATTTCCTTCCAGTGATTGGATCACTGCTGCAAGCTCTTCCATCGTGATAAAACCTACATCAAATTATTATAACCAAACCAAGTTTAATTTAGACGTCACAAAATTTAATACCGTAATGAATTTTGAGATAAAACCCAGTTCTCTGATTCAACCAAACATGTATAAAGATAATAAATAAGCAGACAATTTATATATAAGTTAAATAATGGAAGAAGACACACCATCTGAGTCTTTGTCAATCATACAAAAGGCCTCCTGGAACTCAGCATTTGCTGTTCTGTCAGTGAATCTGCCATATCTGCTGGTTTTATTTTAATTGAGACTCAGAAGCGGAGAGTGGGGGAAATTTGAAAGAATATAGTGCAGGTCTCGGAGAAAACAATTATAAAGACAAAGAAACGGGGGAGTACACAATTCTTTATTATTATATGAAATAGTCTGACGCGGTTGAGAGGCGAAATTCCATATTCAAAGTCTTCCAGAATTTTCTTTCAGTCTTATATTAACGCTGTTTGGAGGAATTTCCAATTTCATATACCCTACTTTAGGTTTGTACGGGAATCTCAAAAGTTAAAGAGGTCAACTGGAGCTTGAATTTTCTTCTGAAAATGGCTATCCAGACCCCACAAATTACCAACTCCAGTCAAGCATGGGAACCAAAGAAAAACACTCTTGGTAGCCGTTTCTTTTAGCGCGTTTTAGTTTTTTTCATTTCCATTTACCAAACAAAACCTTTCACAGGATTCAGCTTCGAAATTATCGTGAATGAATAAAATCTGATGAACACATCAAAGTATTCTGTAACATAAATATTAAACTCTGTATTTATGTCAATTAACTCTTTTGGTGTCTTTTACTGCTTTAAGCGATACTAGAAAATGAAATAATTTAATAATAAATTCCCTATATTGCCACTCCTAAACACTAACCAATATTAATGATATTAACCATGCAATGTTTGGTGACATGATAAAAACTTTTAGATGTATTATTTAAAAGGTTTTAAATCTAATTTTTTTTCTATTGCTATCCGGTATAGTTAATAAAAGATTTATCTGATTAATAAAAAAGTTATCTGTCATTAATCAATTGTTGATTCAATATCAAACTACAAAAAGAAAAAAAAAAAACTATATATATTAATGATCTTCCAAAAGATTTTAATGAAATCAATTGGAAAAGTAACTATATTATAATGTCGAAGGTCATGGTGAAAGGTAAGCAACGAGGTCGTCAAAAATTTAAATTATTAACAATGTAAAATTTTATATTTTCAAATTTAAAATATAGTTCAATAATGAAAATTAAATTATACGGTGAACTCAGGGTCCACAACTCCAAACAGGCATAAAGACACGTGGATCAAGATTTAAGGGAAACACCGTGTAGGTCCACTGTAACATGTGTCTCGCGATCTAGTAGATTCCTCCCCATTACAAAATCAGCTAATGCTAGGTAAACCTTCTCACTCAAAACCAACTCACAAGCAAGCACTTGAAGGCCAAAGATTTTCGCCGCCGTTTCGATTCCCGAGTTCTAATCCGAGTTAACTCAGTCCGATTTTGGGCTTACTTAAGGTACACTCGCCCACTCATCTATTGCTTATGTTGTCTAGGTCGTCTGGTTTCGACCTTTACGCTTTTGACTCTTAAGCTCTGCGATTCGTTTGAAATTCATATATATCTGTAATTTTTGGATGAAATTTTTGAAATTTGGTGAATTTGATATAATTGAAGTTCTTATACTGAAATAGAGCGTCAATGCAAAATTTAGGGTTTAAGGTTTAGGGTTTAAGCTTGCAATCTAGCTATGAAGTTCCGATATTTTAGCAATATTTCAAACTAATTTTGTAATGATTGTGCAGATTGGATTTGTTTGTGTAGATTTGTATCTTAAAAGAGAAGTTACGGGATTAAAAATGAAAACTTTCATGCATTTTAATTGAAATAATCATGTATATCTATTCGTTTTGTGCTTATGTGTGGCAGCAGAAGAATTGATTTCTGGTTTAGCTGATTAGAGTGCAAGGCCAATGAAACTCCTTGTAAAATATGAAAGTTACATTTTGCGCAATTTGAACTTTTTGACCATATGCTATGCATTTGCTTGGGTTTTTCTGTTACCATTTGGATGTCTAGTTTTTCCTCTGTGTTGTAGATGATAGTACTTGGTGCCATTTTAAAAATAATTGCCAATATACTAACTGATTTGGTGTCAAACGTTGATGATAGTTAAAAGTCACCGTGTCTGTCAGTTTTATTTTATACACTTAGAACTGAATTAATATGCAGGATTCTAAGACGAATATTTGCTTGTTACTTTTTGACCAACCATTAGATAAAATGGATGCATGAAGTGCGTAACAGCTTCGACCTCACCTATATATTATGAGATGAATTACATCTATATATAGCTTGACTGAACATGACTAATTTTGATTTTATTTCAGCCTTTTGAAGTGTGCAGAAATGGGTAAGAAAAAGAATCCTCTTGTTTTCTTCGACATATCAATTGATGGGGATCCTGTGGAAAAAATTGTTATGGAGGTAATTCAAATTTCAAAAATCAAAATGTTGTTTGCATTACACTTTATTTTTTCAACCACTTTTTGGAAGGAACTCATAGGCTTTAGTCTACTGTTAGGATGTGTGCTAATAAATTTTGTTTGGATGAGTAGCTTTTTGCTGATGTCGTCCCTAAGACAGCAGAGAATTTTCGGGCACTATGTACAGGTATATGTGATTAACAAAATGTTGATTCTTTAAAGACATAACTATTTTTGTATCTATGTCATTTAAAGTTCAATTTTATCAGTTGTTATATGTGAAAATTGTTGTTTTTGTTTGAACTAATATTGTGGTGATCCATTTTAGGTGAGAAGGGCATTGGAAAATCTACTGGCAAGCCTCTGCACTATAAAGGAACAATGTTTCATCGAATAATTAAAGGGTTTATGGCGCAAGTATGTTATTCTTTTCTTTTTATGAACCATTTTCATGATCAAGGAATGTTTGCAGTGACACTTGTTCATCAACAGTATTGGATTGATATTTGCTTCTAATGTTCTTTGTTCTTTATTTATTTATTTATTTTCTTCTCTAGCGTGGGGGGATTGTGATGGTGTTATTCATAGTTATTATGTTCAAAGATATTATCTGATTATTCAATCTTCTGTGCAGGGTGGTGACTTTTCTAAGGGAAATGGTATGCTCTCTTATTCCCACATATTTTCTAGAGGGTGGGAGTTTAGTTTCTTAATTGAATGAAGGTTCTATGTTTGACTTCTATATTTATGCCCAGATTTGTAAGGAACAACCTTTGATTGGTTTGCAGGCACTGGTGGAGAAAGTATTTATGGAGGGAAGTTTGCTGGTGGGTTTTCTATGAATGAATATTGTGCATGCATGCAGCGTGCTGGATTACATTCTTGATTAATAAAAAAGGTTTACATTTCCTCTGCAGATGAGAATTTTAAACTGGGGCATGATGGACCTGGTTTTCTCTCTATGGCAAATAGTGGTGTGAACACAAATGGATCTCAGTTCTTTATAACCTTCAAGCGGCAACCCCATCTTGATGGGTATTTATCTTTTCATCTTATGATTGTGTATTCACACATGTTACATTTTTGTTCATTATGCCTCTAAATGTAGTGTAAATTGGGCTGGCTCAGTGTGAGCCTGAGTCAGGTCTGTGCTGCCAGCCGCAGGGCATGAAGCCCAACCAGGCTCTGAAGAACAAAAATTAATCTGAAATTTAAAAATAATTTTAAGAAGTAAAAAAGTCAAAATTACTTTCATAATAGTTAGCTACAACCCGATTGAGGGATAATTTTAGTTGATTCAGTGAATAAATACATAAACAAATTGAAAAATAAATGAAAAAGTCAGGCTATGCCGTTTTACCTCTACATCTAGTTTTCTTCCACTTGTCTTTTTGCTTCTATTCACTATTCTGTAAAACTTCAAAGCTTCACTTGTCTATTTTTAGGTTATCAGTTTCTCATGTAGTTATCTTATGACAGGAAACATGTTGTTTTCGGAAAGGTTGTGAAGGGATTGGACATAGTTAAGAAAATTGAGCAGGTGGGAACGGCTGATGGGAAAACTGCCCAACGTGTAAAAATCATTGACTGTGGTGAATTTTCTGAAAGTAAAATTCAGGATGGCAAAGAGAAAGGTAATTATACATGGATTGTCGATAGCATATCAAGGACTCCTGATCCAGTTCCTCTACATCGTATCTTCTTTCAGTAAATTAATTTCAGAATATGGGTTTTTTTCAGCTGAAAAGAAAAAATCAAGGAAAATCTCTTCTTCGGAGGATAGTTCTGATGGGGAAGATGCAGAAAGGCGCAAAAAATCTTTGAAGGAAAGAAGAAAGAAAAGAAAGAGGAGATACTCTTCATCAGATTCCTATAGCTCCGACTCTGATTCTGATTCTTACTCTTCAAAATCTGATTCGCCATCAGCTTCAGAATCAGATACCTCGCTGTCTGATTCTAGTTCCTCTAGTGATGGAAGGCGTAGGAAGAGGAAATCAGGTAAAAGAGATAAGCAAGAAAGTGGGAGAAAAAGGAAGGATGCACAGAGGATGAAGAAGAGAACCCGGCATCACCAACGGTCACGACGCAAATCTAAATGGTCTGATTTAGATTTATCTCCAGTTCAGATAAATTTTATGCGATTAATTTTTATTTATTAATTTTTTCTTATATTTGTTGATGTTGTATTTGCAGGAGTTCAGACAGTTCGAGTGATTCTGAGAGTGAGAGTGCTAGTGGTAGCAGCAGTTCTGGTGATGAAAGAGCTGGTCGTCTCGGTTCAGCTCGCAAAAAGGGTAACTCAGTGCCTGCTGAATTGCTACAAAATCTTTGCATGCCATTCTGTTTTATACTTGCATTATCAGCCTCTGTTGTCATAGTCTGTATTGAGATAGATACTGAGAGCATGGATAGTGCTTATTGGCAAGTGGGACTACAGTGTCTTGAATAAATTGCATCAATTATTGGACACTTTGTGATAGGAATCAGGAAAGAGTCACAAGCAACAGAGTCGAATAGAAAGGGGAGGGAAAGTGAAAGAGAATTAGAGAGGAAGAATTTTTATTTCATCAAAAACTGTCTTCAACAGTTAAATTAGGCTTTATTTATAGGGCTAAGCCTAGCCTTACATGATATAATATCACTCTAGAATATGTAGTTATGACCATCAAATCAAAATATCCTAGGCTCCATTTGTTTTTTTATTCCTATCCATATTCCGAATCTTATTCCCAAAATACTTGTTTATTTTATTATTTGAGAAATAGTATTCTATTTTTCTAATTACTTTTAAACCCCTTAAGTTTATTAATTTAATTAAACACCCCTTAGAAAAAAAGTTTAAAAATTAACAGAAACAACCCCACCGACCCCAACCACCGTTGGTGGTTGCCAGAATCTGTCACAACAGCGTAGAAATGACCGAAAATGGTTGGTAATTCACCGATCTGACCGTCAGCGATGGCCAAATCTTGGCCATCGTTGACCGACAACGGCCAAATTTGTCCTTTTGCGGCCGTCTACGGCTAGATCTGGCAGTAAATCTGGCCGGAAAAGGCCATATCGATGCACGACCGGCCAAATCCGACCGGTCTGCATCGTAACGCAATTTTTCAGCCAGATTCCTGCAGTGGTGGCTGGAATCTGGCATTGTGGGTAGGTGGGGGTGTTTTTGTCATTTTACAAATTTTTTATATATTGGGGTGCTTAGTTAAATTAGCAAACCTAAGGGGTTTTTTGTGAATTTTTAAATTTTACCTTGTAATACTCACCCTATTCAACTACCGAATATTATTCCCAAAATTTTATCCAAAATAACAAAACAAACGAACCCCTAGAAATCCTGATACCAACTATAAGGTAAGGAAATAATCCTATACTAGGACTTTGATTCTTGTGAGAAAAGGAAACTGAAATGATGGCACTAAATCTATTTCTAAAAGGAAAACAATAACCTTTAGAAATGGCAAAGAAATCCCAAGATTTTGTAACTACGTCTAAAATAGGTACGTAGATCCTTAGGGAGGTCCTGCATCAATTTGATACTAAACCAGTGAATTATTGTGATCTTACAGATTTGAGAAAGAAATCCCTGACCCTTCCCTCAGGAGAAGTAGCTGTCAAAGAACAGCAAAGGAATCATGAGTTGAAGACAGCTGAGGACACCTTATCACACGAAGAGGGTGAATTATCTTTAAAGACTGATAAGCTTCAAAATAATGGGCATGGCACTGAAGCAAAGTCGGGTAAAACTGTTGATCGACATTCTTATTCAGATGATACAAGCAAATCCAGGTTTTGCTCTTTGATAGCTTCATTTCTTCCTGAATGTTTTGATGTTGTTTTCCATATACATGTGGGAGACTTGTTGCATTGATAAAATTTTGTGGACTATATGATTGACAGGAGTATGAATCCAAGCCCAAAAAGAAGGTCAAACAACAGATCTAGGGGTAGCCCCAGCTTGAGTCCTAAAAGGATTGTCAGGAATGATGGAAGTTCTCCCAAGAAGACCAATGATCAGAGTGCTGGGCATAAAGCCCCTGACCCTTCTGCTTCTAACCGTGGCCGGGATTTGTCTCGAAGCCCAGCTCCAGATGGTGCTCCAAAGCGCATTAGAAAAGGCCGTGGCTTTACTGAACGCTACGCTTTTGCACGTCGGTACCGTTCTCCAGAGCGTTCACCTCCTAGATCCTTCCAGTACGGTGGAAGAAATATTGAAAGGAATCGAGATAGGTAATCATGGTTTCATGTGACATGATTTAAGCCAACATGGTCTCTGAATTTATTCCTTTTGTTTTCTTCTTGTATATTTTGTTTTGTCTTTTATGAAGGTATTCAAGTCACAGAAATTATTCTGAACACTCTCCACGTAGATATTACAGAAGCCCACAAAGAGGCCGGAGTCCCCCCAGGTTTCCTCTCTCTCTGATTGTTTGTGTTTATGCCCGTTATTATGCGAATTTCTTGTCAGTGTCCTGTCACTTTCTATAGCATTCTTAACGTGTTAGCATTTTTGTTATGCACTTTCATAGAGCGTACATGTAGTCTTATTTTCCATGAAAAGTTATTGACAATAGTGAATCCCTGGATTTACATTAGTGGCAGTGTTAAGCTGTGCCTGTAATACTCATTTTAAGTGTGTATCTGATAAAAAATTTATTTGCTCCACCAACAATTAGTTTTACATATTGGAGTGAAATTCAATCATCTAATATTAATCAATTTTATCTGAGAGAGAGAAACGATTTATTGTACTTGAGAGTTGTAAATTTCGTACTAAATGTCCATGACTAACATACCACATCCAACACTTGTTAATTATAGTAAACCACTAACGGTAGAAGGATCTACCTGTATGCCTTGTGACTTAAAAAAAAAAAAATGGAACTTTTAGAAATATAAGTTCTTAGACAGCACTTTGATAAATAACCATTTCTTCCTTATGGGTTGTGTGATTCAATCTGTTAAGCTGAGTCACTGCTGATAGCCAATTATAGAAGCAACTAATCAATATTTTTACTTTTCTTCACAGATACAACTACAGGAGAACCCGAAGTAGGAGCATTTCTCGTAGTCCAGATGGTTATCGTGGCCGTTACAGGAACCGCAGCAAGAGCCGGAGTCCAATACGTAGTCCTAGTCCAAGAGATAAGCGGCCGTCCATTAGTGAGGGGTTAAAATCTCGTCTAGGTCCTAAAATTGAAGAAGGGCGCTCTCCTATCAAAAGAAGATTTAGGTCCAGGTCTAAGTCCTCGTCCAGGAGCTTTTCTTCTCATTCTAAATCTCCGGAGATTTCACCAGCAAAGAATCGTATTAGAATACCTTCTGCATCTTCCAGCAAGTCTGCATCAAGTTCACCATCTGGACAAAGAGGGTTGGTTTCCTATGCAGATTAGATCTCTTTCCGGAATTAGGTAGTTGAGTGGCTTCTTGGTCAGGGATTGGTGGACTGCACGTTCTGATAAAATCTGTCTGAAACCTATTTGTGCCGTGAATTTGAAGTTAATATATAAGCATGACTAGAGGCCTATCCATAAGAGATTAAAATTATGCTTTGCATTGTAATGTAAGTTGAATTCATAAAATTTCGGAGCAGGTTAGCAGAGAATTTAGCTGGTAATGGAAATGTCTCAAACTTTCGATTAACGATTCTGGTATTGCTGCTGATTCATTTTGTATGTTGCAATATAATTCCCTTTTTTCTGTTTTTTTTTTTGGTGTGTTGGGTTCGGCCATCTCAAAGTGAGGATCTTTACTAATCCTCACAGTAGGTAAGGTTAGCAATTATATCCGGCAGGGTTGGGTTGAGCATCCGGACAAAGCCGACCCCATCGGGCTGGGAATCACTGGCCAACTTCCAGTTTCGGGGAATTCTTCCCTGATATTGGGATGAGACCGAGTGGAGTTGTACTTGTTGCCCACAAAACCGGAAGCCTATTTTGCATCCGGTTCTTTACCAATTTTATTTATTTCTTTAAATATAGTTTTTATTTATGTGTAACCAAGTAAAATTTTCTTCATTTATACCCTAAATTGGATATAAATTTTTAATAGTGTTAGAATTATGAGCTGTGAAGAGTGAAAGATAGAAAAGGAGATTGAAAAAGATAATTTAATGAATCCAATTATTATTGAATTGATTATAATTGAATTAACATTACCTTTTGATACTAAAATAAACTATAAAATAAGGTAAGTAAAATATTGTAATGATTCCTAGAATCTCCTAAAAGAGTAAACTAAATATTACTTAGCTATTAGGGCTGCATGTGGTTAGAGCTCTAAGAAGATTAATTCGGTAATCTATCTTTTAATCCGATTATTACCATGTTTGGTTTAGCATGTAATAAAATATTCTGGTAATCTTTTATTACTCAGGTGATAGGAGAGGTGATATAACGTGCGTTTGGTTCGGGGAATGTTTTATTATGGAGATGTCATATTAATGGAAATATAGATTATCTTGAAGATTATTGAGAATGTTTGGTTAGAATAAATTGGTGAATATGTTATATGAATATGTTTGGTTGGGAGGATAAATGGGTGGGTATGTTATATAGATTACTAAATTACCCTCATTTTCAAATATTAATATAATATTATTTTTATTTTTATTTTTTGAATCATTTCTTTTAACCCCTTACATTTGAAATTTTGCTAAAACACCAGTGTCATATAAAACTTTAATTTGCAGCAAAATCACCTCCACCCACCCCAAGTCATTGCCGACAGCCAGCCACCACCTTCGGCAGTCGTCGTAATGGCGCATGATGGATCGGATTTGACCGATAAGGTCGTTTCACTACTGAAGATGTGGTCATGAAATGCCTATAGAAATAGCCAGATCTGACCGTACACGGCCTTATCAACACACAACTGGCCAGAACCCGTCAGTTGTGAGCCATTACAGCGACTGTAGCCAGCGGCCGACAATGGTCTTGGCCTTGGGTAGTTGAGGGTATTTTGTTAACTAAACTTTTTTGTGATTGTGGTGCTTTAGCTAAATTGTCAAATGTAAGGGGTCTGGGCTAATGGTTATTTGGTAGACATTTGAGGACAATTGTCTCCGAAATGGTGTTTAATTAAGGGTAAAATAGGTATAAAAACTAGATTACCTCGGTAATCTTTTAACAACACCTCTTGGGGGATAATCTGATTACCCTCTATATTACCAACAGTAAACACTATTTGTAATAAAAGATACCCATAATATTTTATTACTTGTAAACTAAACAAGGGAATCTTAAAAATTAAACGAAAATTACCCCCGTAATCTTATATGACCCCGATCCAAACGCACCAATAGAGGGTTATGTGATTACCAACTCAAAAGGTGATATTTTAAGATTATTGTAGTAATCCTATTTTTGTTCCAATNATTTAATAGTGTTAGAATTATGAGCTGTGAAGAGTGAAAGATAGAAAAGGAGATTGAAAAAGATAATTTAGTGAATCCAATTGTTATTGAATTGATTATAATTGAATTAACATTACCTTTCGATACTAAAATAAACTATAAAATAAGGTAAGTAAAATATTGTAATGATTCCTAGAATCTCCTAAAAGAGTAAACTAAATATTACTTTGCTACTAGGGCTGCATATGGTAAGAGCTCTAAGAAGATTAATTCGGTAATCTATCTTTTAATCCGATTATTACCATGTTTGGTTTAGCATGTAATAAAATATTCTGGTAATCTTTTATTACTCAGGTGATAGGAGAGGTGATATAACGTGCGTTTGGTTCGGGGAATGTTTTATTATGGAGATGTCATATTAATGGAAATATAGATTATCTTGAAGATTATTGAGAATGTTTGGTTAGAATAAATTGGTGAATATGTTATATGAATATGTTTGGTTGGGAGGATAAATGGGTGGGTATGTTATATAGATTACTAAATTACCCTCATTTTCAAATATTAATATAATATTATTTTTATTTTTATTTTTTGAATCATTTCTTTTAACCCCTTACATTTGAAATTTTGCTAAAACACCAGTGTCATATAAAACTTTAATTTGCAGCAAAATCACCTCCACCCACCCCAAGTCATTGCCGACAGCCAGCCACCACCTTCGGCAGTCGTCGTAATGGCGCATGATGGATCGGATTTGACCGATAAGGTCGTTTCACTACTGAAGATGTGGTCATGAAATGCCTATAGAAATAGCCAGATCTGACCGTACACGGCCTTATCAACACACAACTGGCCAGAACCCGTCAGTTGTGAGCCATTACAGCGACTGTAGCCAGCGGCCGACAATGGTCTTGGCCTTGGGTAGTTGAGGGTATTTTGTTAACTAAACTTTTTTGTGATTGTGGTGCTTTAGCTAAATTGTCAAATGTAAGGGGTCTGGGCTAATGGTTATTTGGTAGACATTTGAGGACAATTGTCTCCGAAATGGTGTTTAATTAAGGGTAAAATAGGTATAAAAACTAGATTACCTCGGTAATCTTTTAACAACACCTCTTGGGGGATAATCTGATTACCCTCTATATTACCAACAGTAAACACTATTTGTAATAAAAGATACCCATAATATTTTATTACTTGTAAACTAAACAAGGGAATCTTAAAAATTAAACGAAAATTACCCCCGTAATCTTATATGACCCCGATCCAAACGCACCAATAGAGGGTTATGTGATTACCAACTCAAAAGGTGATATTTTAAGATTATTGTAGTAATCCTATTTTTGTTCCAATTTTACCCTTACATAATAAAAATTCCAAACACAAATGCCCTCCATTTGATGTCAAATAACAATTAACTTAACTTGTTGAATGATTTCTTTAATCTCATTAATTAATTATTTGGACAAAAATATCATATATATATATATATATATATAATTCTCAAAATTATTTATCTTACTGATAATTTTTTTTTTATTGTAATAAAACATTATCAAAACCATATGCCCCGTTAAGGTAAATAACATATGTTTACCATTTGCATTCCAAACCAAGCTCGCAAAAAATATGCACATGTTGTCGGAATCATCTGAAGCCATTCATTCTTGCATGTCATCCTCTTCTTCATCAGTCCGCACGATAACAGAATGCAATCCCTTCAAGGAAATTATTTGGCTGCACTTTCCCTCAATAAGACATGAAGCATTTGGCCCACAAAATGGAGGAAAGTCTCTAATCGCTGAAATTTTTCTCCTTGATAGATAATTTCTTCTTACTGAATTCTTCTGACTGTTATCCGAAAAATCTGACTATTTTTTCTTCATAGGATCTAGATTTCCGATAATCGTATTTTCTCCTTGAGTCATTTGAAATCAGGAGTCTTGTCACGCCTCTCACCAGCATTAAAGAAAGCTCAACTCGGTCTAAAGTTTTGCTTACAATTTGGCATTGGATTACCATTAAAGATCTGCAAAATTCTTTCACAGCTGCACGGGTAACATACTCAACGAAGCCATAACCCTTTATTTGACCGGTAGCAGCACGGGTAACAAACTCAACGAAGCCATAACATTTTACTTGACCGGTCTGCTTATCACGAATTATTTTCACAAAAGCAACCTTTCTCATACTAGCGAAACAATAGGAGATGTAGTCCTCATCCATCCAATATTGCAAGTTCCCGATCCATTTGGTAAGAACGGGTGAAATTGCCTATTGTTGGCTCTGCTGAAGTAGAGTCCTCATGGAACGAGGTTACTACCTGAATTCCTAAGCTCTAATATCATGTCAGAATTTAGAGGATAAGAAAGACAATTGAAGAGAATCAAAGTATTTTCAAAAGATATACTCTAATACTATGTCGGAATTATGAGCAGTGAAAGTGAAAGATAGACAAATGAGACTCAAGAAGATAATTTACTGAATTCAGTTATTATTGAATTGATTATGATTGAATTAACATAACCTATTCATACTAAAGTAAACTATAAAATAAGGTAAATAAAATATTTTAATGATTCCTAGAATCTCCTAAAAGTGTAAACTAAATATTACGTAACTATTAAGGTGGATAACATATTTTTCAACCATTTGCATTCCAACAAATAGTATTCGATAATTATTAATACTTTTATGTTGTGAGTGATCATTAACATATTGGCAACTTAATATATATGTTGATCAAAATAATAGATGAGGGGTTTGCCCCTTCCTTATAAACACTTACAAGTGAAGACCATTGTTGAAGACTTCGCAATACACTGTCCCAGGATTAAAATGGAGAAAGATTTGTGGAAAGGTTTGATTTTAGTGTGACGGTCATATCCTGCTTCGTCATTTACTTCTAAGTTCTAACACTAAAAATTAGGGATGTGCAAAACCGGATATCCGATCCGATTTGTGATATTCTGATCCGATTAGAAAATTCGAATCAAGATGAAACCTGATTCGAATCCGATCCAGATTTCTTGTGATCCGGCTTTATCCGAATTTTATGAAAAATATCAATTTGCCCCCTAAAATTTTGCATTATTCTTAGTACTCCCTACCACATCATCATTTTGATCCCCAAAATTGTCATCATATCTCAAAACAGTCCACATACTTTACCACTCTTCGCTAGACCCCAAAATAAATTATTAAAACTTGTAGTTATGGACAAAACTGAATCTGATCCGAATATTCGGTTTCTTTGAAGAGCCGATCCAGTATTTGATCTGAAAATCCAGATATTCCAAAAATTAATATCTAAATCCGATCCAAATTTTCAGATATCCAGTTTTTTC